TTCTCTAAATGAATTAAGTAGTTGATTCTGTTCAATTTAGGTAGTAGCATGACTAAGCAATTGTGCAGTTCTTTTTCTGCAAATGCAATTTATTGTTCAATTGCTTTAGCAAGGCAGTAGTGAAGGGGGTGGTGTTAGAATGACTTCCTTGTCATAACTTAACTCGGTTGTTCTTTAATATCTTACCACCCTGAAAAGATCAATATTAAGTGAGATAGTAATGCATAAAGAAAACACAATTTTTTAGCATGAAAAATTGCCAAGTCTGAACACTGTGATATGCTGGAATTATTTTAAGAGCAACAGCTGTGGTTGCATAGAAGTTGCTGTTATATGTTATACTATTACCAATAACATTCCATATCTACAGGGGTTTCTGGTCAATTCAGCTGTAGGTATTACAGAATGTTAGCTGATATGTGAAACAGCAGACATAGGACATAGTGTTGTTACTTAACTTTACTGTATAAAGCTTACTTGAAACCTGCTTAGCTGCCCTAGTAACAGAAGACATCTCCAAGAAGAGTTTTCTAAAGTGTTAGACCAATTTTTTAGTTTCAGAGAAATTACCTACTGTTCAGTAATATCTGGAAATTTTTCTAGAGTCCGTCTCTTTGTGGAAACTTGAAGGGTTTAGTAGGTAAATGAGGCCATTACACTGGTCAGAGGGGAAGTAAGTGATTGTGTTAGTGACCCTGCAACCTAGTAGCCTGTCCCAGGCACTTGGAGATACTACATTTTTAGGGTTGGAGTACAAGGAAGGAAATTTCCGAATATGCTGCTGAAGTTTCCAGTACTGTGTGGCTCAGGAATTTTTTGACCTGAGTTTGTATTAGTTTTATTGAGGTAAAAGTTTTCAGTGGATCTTTCTTTCATTAGTTAGTCTAATAGCTCTTTTTATCTTCTTTCAGTTTTGTCTTTTACAGTGTCAGGTGGCAGAAAGTTTTTCTGGTTTATGTGTTGTGTGGAGGTTTACTTCCTTTCAACTTCAAAATTTTCTGGTAAATGCAGTTGTTGCTGTTTGCTCTAGAGAGTATTTCTCAAAAAGCATTTCCTGTTCACCTTATCTAGATATTACTCATGGTTAGTGTATGTTATCTTTCTAATCCTCTGTCGTGGTTTAACCTGGCAGCCAGCAACCAAGCACCAGACAGCCACTCGATCATCCCTCCCCCTCCTCCTCAGTGGGATGGGGAGGAGAATGGACAAAAAGTAAAACTCATGGGCTGAGATAAAAAGTTTAATAAGACAACAAAGGAAATAATAAGAATAGAATAGGCAATACACAATACAATTTTTTTCTCACTGCCTGATGACTGATTTGCAGCCAGTCCCTGAGCAGTGGTCGTGGAACTCACAGATTTTTCTACGAACTTGTGGAAAAAGTTTGAACTCCCACAAAAGATCAAACTCCTGGTAAAGAGATTCCTGCCCCCGGCCATCCTCCATCCACAAATTATGCAGTCGAGTTACCTTGCCTATGGGTATACCATCCTGAGAACACCCCATCTAGTATTGTATCCAAAACACAGCAGCTACTGGGAGGGAAATTAACTCTGTTGCAGCCAAACCCAGGACATCCTCCTGATCATTTTATTTTCCAAACTTAAATAATCTATTGTCTCTTGCCTGTATTGAAGATTTCATAACTCTGATCATATACTTGTTACTTTCTGTTCTTTGTTTCATTAGCACAACACAAGCATGATCTATTTAGAAGTATGATAGGACAAGGGGTAATGGCTTTAAACTGAAATAGGGTAGATTTAGGTTAGATATAAGAAAGAATTTCTTTACTCTGAGGATGGTGAGGTGGTGGAGCAGGTTGCCCAGAGAAGTTGTGTCTGCCCCCTCTCTGGCAGTGTTCAAGGCCAGCTTGGACAGGGCTTTGAGCAACCTGGTCTAGTAGAAGGTGTCCCTGCCTATGGCAAGGGGGTTAGAATGAGATGATATATAAGGTCACTTCCAACCCAAACCATTCTGTGATTAAGTGCGGTAGGTACTTCCAATTAGGATGCTGACATTTGTATGATTTTTTTTTTTCTCCATATCTTCGGTAGATAATAAAGGTTGCCTAAATATTTTGTCTTAAATCTGTTCTTTCTTGTTCTATATTCTCTGTCATGTCCTCCCTCCAGCCAGCTGAAGTTGCAATGTTTTAGCAGTGTTTTTTTTTTAAAAAAAAATAAAAACACTGACGAAAACTTGCCTGTTATTCTGCTGCTTTCCTGCAAACTAAAACAGCAGCCAGGTAGCTAATTTTGTGACTTCTCTCCAGATTCTTAGCTTACCACTTCATAGTAACAATCCCTTTAAGCTTTGCTTTTTAGATCTTTCCTGGCATTCAGCTTGGGCTTTGTAACGGCAGTTGCAGAGCGGGAGGTCTGGAACAGTTCCACTGCCGTTTCCCTTTCATTCAGTCCATACTCATTCCAGTAAGCAAGCCTGAAAGTAATGATAAGTTTAGGACAAAAGTTTTTAGGGTGACCTCGATGGTTAGAGGACTGGAGCTCAGGATGTGTGAAGAAAGAGCTCAGTTTGTTCAACCTTGAGAAGGGTAAGGAGGGATTGTAGTTGCTGTCTTCCGCTACCAAGTGGGAAGAGAACCAGACTCTTCTCGGAGTTGTAGAGTGAAAGGACAAGGGCCATTGAGTAGAAGTTCCAACATGAGATACTCCGATGAGAGAAAATGAAAGTTCTTTTCTGTGAGTATGGTCAAACACTGGAAACAGCCCAGAGAGGTTGTGGTATCTCTGTCCTTGTAGATACTCAGAACTAGAGTGGACAGTGTTTTGAGCAACTTGATCAGCCTTCACATTTGGCCCTGCTTTGAGCAGGGAGCTGGATCAGATGGCATCCAAAGGTTCCTTACAACTTAAATTATTCTATAATTGTAAAACTAATGTAATCAGTTATACAAGCAGAGTTCATTTTTGTATATTACAGTTGATATATGATGTGGTAAGAAACTTGCCATGTAGTTGGTACAGAACACAAAAGCTTTGTTTGTCTGCATAAAGCTGAAACACCAGTAGAAAGCACTGGAATCCTCAGCCTTTGGCATAGTAACAGCGTGGATCACAACAACATTATAAACAGTTTATTTATCATGTGTTTGAAACCTTTAAGCTTATTAGATGTGACTCAACTTACTCTCAGTGAAGTGCTGTCAATAAATTTGAGGCTCATCAGAAAGCTGGTTGTAAAAGATTTCTTATGAATTGGCAGCAACTTAGTGTGGTTCATTGTTCAGACTGTGTGCTGGCAAGTGGATCCATCACACAGACATTTAGTGCGTCTTGATAAAGCTGTTTTCACATCAAGACAGTTATGATTAAAAGCAGATATTTTACCCATTGCCTTACAATATCTGTTTGCATGGGTAAGTCTGCAAATTGTATTTCAAAAGAGTAAATACTGCCAGATGTAGTACTGCCTCCTGTGCTGTGATGTATGTTGTCGTCCAGCTGGAGGGACAGTTCACAATTTAAGTACTGCCAGTTTTACAAATAGGTGTTACTGTAAGAAAAAAAAAAATACTGGTTCTAAAATGCTACCTGGTTTGAATGTGGTAATGGTACACTCAGTCCATCCAGAACTGGTGTTAGAAAAACACTTGAAACTCTGCCCAGGCTGGGGCCAATCTTCACTAGTTGTCATTTAGGATGGTTTTTTCCTTTTATTTTTAAGACTAGGCTCACATATAGAGGGGTGGCTTTTTTCTCCACTCTTCCTCCTCCCACCTCTTTGTAATTTATTGCTGACTTATGGATGCATGAAACATGTTTCTTGGACATGTTCTAGTGTTACTGTATCTGAGATTATTCATAGCAGTGCAGGAGAAAAGCAGTCTTTTAATGACCAAACATGTTTAGAATGCTTCTCCTGCTTAATGGAGAAGAATAGCAATTTAAAAGGTAACTGTTACATGTTGATATTAACTCTCTCAATATTTCGTAAGCAAGATATGACTGATTTTCTAAAACGGTGGCAAACAAGTTAGAACCACTCCTGCCTGATCCTAGAGGCTGAGACACATGTTGAATAGCAAACCAAAAATCAGAGCTGGAAGAAAATTCAAGAGATCATCTAGTCTTGTCCCCTGACTCAGGGTAGGAGAAGTGGTACTTCGAACACTTTTGACGTGAACTTTGAAGCCACTCAGTGATGAAGATTGTCATCTACCTAGGCAATACGTTCCAGTGTCTTTATCAGGAAAACCTTTTCCTAAAGTTTAATTTCGATCTCTTCAGTTCAAGACCATTAGTTTTTATTCCATCCACCACTACGTCTCTTCTTCCTTGAGCTAGCCGACTATCTATTTAAACACAGTTTCTTTCCCCATCTTAATGTTAAACCCAGCTCATTGACTCCTTACAGTCATTGTTCTCTGCTTGTTCTAAAACTTTTCTGAAGTACAGCAATGAAAAGTGAAGGTAGGGCTGGTAGGCATGAGCTGTCCTGGTGTTGAGTACACTTGGAGAGTATGACCCTTTCTCCAGCTTTTTATAATGTGCTATTTTTTTGCATTTGCTTGACAGTGTTTTGTTTTGCCTGTTATCTTCTAGTCCCTTTTTTCCTTTCTTTGTTTAGTACAGTCAAGGAATCTGACTGCTACTTTATCTCTCTTCTTGATTTTTTTTTTCTGTATGGCAGTTATTCTCCTGGCTTTTGGTATCTGTTGGGGATGGAGAAGTCTGCAGCTAAGCAAACTGTATATAGAAACTTAAGGTAATGAAACTTGTATTGGAAGCTCGCTGTGATGTGGGATGCTTAACCTGAGTGCTGTTAAATAGCCCAGCTTCAAGCGAGGAACTTGCAAAACACAGAAGCAGTGCCAAGCTTTACCAAAGATATCTATAGCTAGGCCTTCAAAGCACAGTAACTGAGACTTAAAAGTTACCTGTGTATGTCCAACAGAGAAGTTTTACCCTGAGCTGTGTATCAGATCTTGTGAAAGCTTTGCACTGGCATTGTGTCTGTTTCTGTTGTAGGTGAAGGAACTCTTCCACTCTATGCATGTGGAGTACTATGCTTTGGAACTTGATGTAACAGGTAAGTAGAAGAAAGAGATCACATGCTGCTTGATTTAACTGAAAATGAGTGACTGTGCATAACTCTTTAAGCTGTCTTGAACTAATTGGAGGATATGTACAACAAATAAAATCAGTTTTAATACAGGCAGAGATAAAAGCAATTAGGTTTCAATGTGGATTTTAATACAGGATGTTTTTTTAATGTAACTGAAGGCTTTGACTCTTTCTGTACAAATCATCAACTGATAGGGCATCGGAGATCTGATTTTTCTCTGAGGAGCTCTGTCTTTTGGGGAAAAAACCTGTGGTATTTTTCAACTACCTCTTTTGTTAATGTTTTACTTGCTGTATGCGTGACCTTCGTAGGGAAAATTGCTGAGTCATTGGCAGGAAGGGCGAGTTCCAGTGCCTTGGCTGTTGCTTGTTTGAGGGGTGTCTTTTTGAAGCCTAAGCTGCTTTAGTTTTAATGCATGTGTAGTGCCTTATGCATATATGTACATAATGTGTGTAGCTTTTAATGTAGTGTTAATAACAAGTAGTTTCTACCATAATTCTTAGCAGCCTCTTAATTGCACTGTTGATAATCTGTTGATTCTCTACAAAGGTTAGTTTCCAATGTTTTTTTGAAGTGTTTGTGCTTAAGCAGTGTTTGGGAAAAATGTACTTATTTATTGGTCCAAAGTGTCTCTTCTTATTTTTACTTTTTTTAAGGTTGTGATACTGTGAACTAGTTATAGCCCAAGATAAGCAAAGTACAATGCACAATCATTTTTTTCTGGAATTACTCCTAACTAAGAATGTATTTCCCTTGCAACAGCTCTGATTACTGATACTAAATATGTATGGTCTTGGAGTAAAACGATTTTAGGCAAAGTGACTACTGTAAATTCTCATACCCACCTTTACTGCTGGAGAATGAGATCAAAGTTGAGCCTGTGTATAGGTGCTGGTGATTCAGATGACAGGTCAGGCAATGATAACCTTATAACTGGAAGGTTTAAGACAGTATGGTGGGTAGAAAAAGTCTGAGGGTAGCTTTAGCATAAGTACAAGAGCATATTCATGCTTCCCATCCCCATATTCTCATAGTACGAAGTTGCTGGGCAAAACTATGTGCACTTACGTAGAACAAGTTCCAAAATCAGACAGTTCTCGTGAAAGAAAGGCTGTCTGTATGATCTCCTGTAATACCTGGAAAAGAATTTTTGTGTAGTGCCAAGGGTGACACTTGGGAGAAGACTGGTAAGAACCCAGGAAATACAGAGCCAGAACTCTATCAGTTCAACTTTATTCTCTGCTGTGGAATTATGGCTTTTTTTTTTTTTTATTATTCTAGCATTATCTTTTGAGAATTACTTTCCAAAGACTTGCTTATGTTCAGGAAGTCTACGAATGCGGCGCTTAATAATAGAATTGTTTTCTTGGCTGACCTACAGTGTATTGCAGTCCAAACCTTTAACACTGCAGGTTGTTTTAAAAGCTCCCTTCTTGAAAATTGTTCTGTGATGTGCCTGTTTCTTTTATTCTTAGCTGATGGACCTAGTATTCAGCATGTGTTAGCAGAGCTAACTAATCAGAGGACAGTGCCTAATGTATTTGTGAATGGAACACACATAGGCGGCTGTGATTCAACTTATCAGGTAACTTTTCTTTAAAAGAAGTAGACAAGACTATTGAGTAAACTTGCTGTTTGGTCATAATTAAATTTTGTGTGACATAATAGACTGGGTGATCTAGGTCAGAGAAGGCAACATCATTCAGTTTTTGTTTGTGCAGAAATGTGTGGTAATTTTTCTTTTACAGGCTTATCGTGATGGATCTCTGCAGAAACTTCTTGGGGATAGCAATGGTGCAGAACCATATGATTATGATCTAATTATTATTGGTGGTGGCTCAGGTGGACTTGCGTGTTCCAAGGTATGACATCAAAATTGCATTAAAGAAAGGTTGTGTATGAAACTTCTTCAAAAATTAGTGTCTGTATTAATCATGATAGTATAAAACAGTCTATATTTTGAAGATTATTGCTGTTCAACTTGTTACTTAGTGAATCAGTAGTGGTCTAGTAATGTGTTCACTCAGGAGATCATGGTCTCTAGCGCCAGTGTCTTGCCAATGCATGTTCAGGTCTCGATCCTAATAATAGGTTTTAGTTTCCTGGCTGAGGGTGGAACCAAAAGTTTAAGTATCCACTCTTCATGTGTAGTACACAGGCACTTCAACACTTCCAAACAGTAATCTGGCAAACCTAAAGGCTACTCTTGAAGTACTTCTGACTGTTGAGGATTCAGGATCACCAGTCATTTAAAATGAAGTGTTTTCAGCTGTTCTCTCAAGGAACTGGCTCACTTTTTAGTTCTCTTTCTAGCTGCTTTTTCAGAAATGCCGATAGGGATTGTGTACCTCTTACACAGATAGCTGTTTTTCAGAGTGCCTCAGGACCTAAGATGTAGATTCCATTTTCTCCTTTACCTGAGAGATTTGAACCCACACTTCCCACCTCTCAGCCATGTATACTACCTATCAGTTTATGGTTTGGCCATGGTGATGTTGTTATTGACAGCCCTGGCGATTGCTGTACAACAACAGTTAAGCGTGCAACTTCTAGTAGATAAATATAAGAAAGGCAGGAGAAGGTGACATAGCACTGCTTCAATTGACAGGTCTTAACTGGGCGTTTTCAGAATGCTCCAGATCTTTCCTCAAAGTGCCTTCTGGGACATAAGTTATGAACTTGGTGATAATTACCAAACTGTTCAGAGTGGGAGAGGTCAGATTTTCATAGAATACAAGATAGCTGGTAAAGCCTTGTTTGAGCCAGGATTGCAGTAACTGTGCAGGAGTTCTTAAACAGATTTGAGGCATTTAAAGATTTGATTCAAACCCTTGAAAGATCAGGCAGTGGGTAGCTTTAGCCAAGTACCTGGTAATTCCTTGGACAGAGTATCATAGGAATTAATCAGGTTAGAATGGACGTTAGGAGGAAGTCTAGTCTGAGCTCCTGCTCCAGGCAGGGTCAACTGTGAGGTCAAACAAGATTATGAAGGACGTGATCCATTTGGGTCTTGAAAATAGCCAGGGGTGGAGACAGCATAGCCTCTCTGGGCAAACTGTTTCACTGCTTGAATGTCCTCGTGGTGTGAAAGTTGTTCTTATATCCAGTCTGAAAATCTCTTGTTTCAGCTTATGGCCATTGTCTTTTCCTCTGCCACTCGCCAGTGTGAAGAGCCTGGCGCAGTCGTCTTAGTGACCTCCTCATAGATATTGGAAGCTGGCTGTTGGGTCTCCCCCAAACCTATCTTTTCTTCAGGCTGAACATGCCAAGTTCCCTCACACTTCTCGTCGGGTGTGTACTGCAACCCCCTGAGTATCTTGGTGGTCCTCCACTGAACTGTCTCTCCAGTTTATTAACATGACTTTTTTTCATTTATGAACATGTCAAGTCAGTCTAGCCCTCCTGAGAGAAAAGGAGAGCTAACAGCATAAATATTTCTTCGGGTGAGGTAGAGGAGGATCGTAGGCTGATAAGCCCATCTCCTACCCTCTTCAGACCTTGGTTTTTGACAGTGTAGGATGATACAGATGCAGCATTGAACATAAGCATCGATTCAAAATTTGGAAGAGAGTAGTAGCTTTTGAGAGATTTGAATTTTTGTCTAGTGAAGGAGGTAGAAAAGCCATATAAGATAATGAGACAAAGTAGCAAAGGAGTCTTCACTGTAAATGAGCAGACAGGCTTTCTTGGTCAGGCAATAGTTCAGTAACGCTGACTTGTGTGTCCGTCTTTTTGTAGGAAGCTGCTGCCTTGGGAAAGAAAGTAATGGTATTGGATTATGTTGTTCCAACGCCTCTCGGAACCACGTGGGGTAAACTTCTCTTAACTTGTATTTTACAATGTTTGAGTGCCAGTGATACATATTGAGTTGTTAGGTATTGTGGATTTGTATTCTTAGAAATTGTGGCTGAATTCCTACAGTTCTGGAACACAGATAACAAAGTAGTTTTCCTGGCATACCTGCTTTTCTGGGCAGTTATTTCTGTTTTGTGCAATGCTAACTCTCAGTTCTTTGTCAAATGTTCCAGTTCTGTTCACTTTCAGGTCATGTCTGGATAGCGCGTGTGTGTGCGCATGTTCAGATTCTCATGTTTGTGGGTTTTTTTTGCCTTTTAGTTTATCTAGTTCTATTTTGTGGACAACTGGTCTAGGCTGCCTCTAGAATGGTGTGACTGTATGGCTATGCATGCCTCACCTTTCCATAATTAATGACAGCTGCTGTCTGACCTTATTAATGCTATTGGTAGTTGACAATGAATAAGGAACTTCATTGGTCAAGTTTTATTGAGTCGCCATATGAATGTGCTTTCATAGCTAAGATTTCAAACGAATACGTATTTTGAATTCCACATGCTAAGTGATACTAAATTCTAGGAACTCTGGGATTTTTGCATTGCTTGCTTGCCAATCTGACTAAAATCTGAAGTACTCTGGAGTAAGTATCTGGGTCTATGTTTAAGTCAACACACTCTACCCTTCTTGGCTCAATGAGTCAAATGATCTCTTAAACTGAATACAAACTTGTAAGCTCAGTGTGTTCATTGTATTTTAAAATGTCTCTTACATAAGAAATTCCATGTTACTTGATGTTTGCTATAGCCACACAACTGATACATGGGTGACGATACAAAGCACATGATAAGAAAAGTATAAATATCCTGTTAACTCAAGTAATAACGTGGTTCTTTCCATCTTAGGACTTGGTGGCACGTGTGTAAATGTAGGTTGCATTCCTAAGAAGCTAATGCATCAAGCAGCACTTCTGGGTCAAGCGCTCCAAGATTCAAGGAAGTACGGGTGGCAGTATGAAGAACAAGGTTAGTAAGAACAGAGAGGACAGACTAAGACAGTGTACAGATGAGACTGAGCTTAAGATCGTTCTTGTACTCTGGACTTAGTAAACTAGAGGCAGAGTTCAGTAGTTTTCTTAGATGAATCGGAAGGCATCCTCCTTCTTGAGTCATAGAAGCCTTTAGGATTGAAAGCTAATTGTGTTTTGTTCCTTATGTTATCTGAATTAAATGAAAGAACTTCTAGAACGGGCTTGGTTTCAGATAGTAACAAATCAGGTAAATATTGGCATAGAAGAGCAAGACTTTAATATGTATTGTCATTACTGATAATAATGATTATTTTTTAGCATGATGTACAATGAATAAGAAGTTTTTCTTTAAGGATTCATTGCACTTTTATTTCTTTAAATATGAAATTAATTGTCTTGTTTCAGTTAAGCACAACTGGGAGGTCATGGTGGAAGCAATTCAAAACTATATTGGTTCTTTAAACTGGGGTTATCGAGTGTCCTTAAGAGAGAAGTCTGTGACATACCTCAATTCTTACGGAGAATTCGTTGAACCACACAAAATTAAGGTAAGTAGTGTGTTTAAAACATGTAATTGGAGGAAAAGTCGTGTTCTGAAACTGCCTTTTAAAATCCAGCAAGGAAAGGGCTTTATCCTTGACATTGCCAATTTAAGTCAACTGAAGTTTAAAACTCATTTGTGAAATAAGTTAATGATTCAAATTATTATGTACACTAGTACACAGCACAGTTTGCAAACCTAGTAACTTGTGTAAGAGCAGTGTGGCTATCTGAAAACTAATGTCTTGCATGAATACAATAAGGTGTCTCAGTTGCTGACTTCATGACTGAGATCAGCAGTCTGAGTGAGGAGGTGAGGGGTGGGGAAAAAAAAGCTTTAGCTGTACGATTTTGCCACTTGGAAAATCTTCATATTAAAGCATAAAAACTATTGAAATTAAATTCAGATTAAGCTCTTGTGTAACAGCACTGCTAGAACCTTATGCTGTATCAGCATAAGAATTAAACTGTCTGTCTTGCAAGACAAAACACGTGCCGGCATCTTGCTCTAAGTGATCATATTGTAGCAAGGTTAACTTAGAAGTGCACATTGAATACAGCTGTTTGGTTCAGTGGTAGTAATTGTCTGTTTTTAATATGAGTTTATGAAGGCTGAACTACCTGTTTCTCAAACCAAGACTAGCACTGAAGAGGTAGTATTATGCTCGACCTAACCTCATCTACCAGCTGTTCTAGCGTTCAGGTATGCAGGTCATCTACTGATATGTCCTTAGTCTATATATGTGGTAGAACAGAAAGACTTTCAGCGGGAGGTTGGACTAGATGACCTCTTGAGATCTCTTCCAACCTGAATTACGTAATGACTCAATGAGGAGGAAGTTTCACTTCACCTGTGTTGGAAAATAACAAAAGAGCAAGAATGAATGTCAGATTTTGAGAGGTGCATTGGCAAGATGAAATTTCCCAAGACCAAGTGCCTCTAGAAGTCAAATTAGTTTGAATTCATTTAAGGTTAGGTCTTAGGTCGTCTGAAGTTGTGTGACTAAATACTTTTGTTTTTTAAATTTCTGTATTAGCCTAAGAACTGACTGATGTTGTTATGTCACTAGCATTGTGTTGGCGTTTTATTGGAAGTGGGGGACAATTTGTCATAGCTTTTTACAAATAAAAAGTAAAGTTATGAACAATTCAATCTAAATGAGTAGCAGAAATGGGCAGGTTTCAAATAGTAAATGATTTTAAGTGCTCTAATGTGAGAAGAGCCTGATACTTTGTGATTTAAACCTGTTATTCTTCAGTGACTTGCATGGCTTCTCTCAATGCATTAGTTCTTGTTTGAAACTGCTTGTTCTTGATTCTTAAACATATCCACAATATTTAAGGGGAGGATTACTTAATTTTTTTATTTTATCTTAAAACCTATAATAAAGACTTTCTTAATTGTGTCTATATAAACAGGCAACTAATAGAAAAGGACAAGTAACCTATCACACAGCAGAGACTTTTGTCCTGGCAACAGGAGAAAGGCCTAGATATCCGGGTATCCCTGGAGATAAAGAATACTGTATTACAAGGTGAGATGAAAAGGTATAATAGACTGAATTTTGTCTGCTCTAGTGTTTGCAAAGACAAACAAGCTTGTGCTGAAAGTGCCTTGTGACTTAGACTTTGTTTCTTTTTAGTGATGACCTCTTCTCCTTGCCTTACTGCCCTGGCAAAACTCTAGTTGTGGGTGCTTCCTACGTGGCTCTAGAGTGTGCAGGATTTCTTGCTGGTCTAGGTCTGGATGTCAAAGTGATGGTGCGTTCCATACTCCTTCGGGGCTTTGACCAAGAAATGGCAGAAAGAATAGGTGCTCACATGGAAACACATGGCGTAAAGTTCATCAGGAAGTTTGTACCTGTTCAGGCAAGTGCTTTCTTCAGGTTTCTTCTCTCCATGCAAAGTTACTTTAAACAGCTTGTGTAGAATGCATGTGCTGTCTGGGAAGGCTTTGGCTCTCTACAGGAGTAAATGTTTTGTGAGAGTAAGCTTTTTTATTGCTGAAAGATAGATGAGTAGGTCAAGGTTTGAAGTGACAATGTAAGTGAGCTCTGCTGCTTAAGGTCATTCTAAGCTTACAAATATTTATACAGGTTGAACAGCTGGAGGAAGGCATGCCTGGGAGACTGAAAGTGACAGCAAAGTCTACGGAGGGACCAGAAACCTTTGAAGAAGAATATAACACTGTAAGCCTGGATTTGAAATAACTGAATATAGCAGCATGTGGAAATGTATTAAAATGTATTAAATGTATTAAAATACTTTAAAAGTTGTTCAGGAAAAAAGTAAAGGGAAAGTTGTTCCCATAAATTACTTGCAGAACAAAATACATGAAAATTCAATATTCATCTTCAGTTGAGCCCTGTCAGGGCCTGGAATTTAATTCATATGAACAGTGTTGTTGCTTCTATTTTTGTTCTGATATTAATTTTTTGCTGTTTGCATCTCTGAAACAAGTTGCACATGGAGGAGTCTGAACTGTTGGTGAATCTTTCAAAAAATTTTTGGAAAAGTCACTTAAATAATATGCGTCATATTTTTTTCAGGAAAATACCAGAGGAAGTATTATGTTGATTACGCTTTTGTTGCATAAAATGATTGCATTTAATTTGGGGGTTTGGTTTTTTTAGGTTTTGCTAGCCATTGGTCGTGATGCATGTACCAGAAATATTGGCTTAGAGACAGTTGGTGTCAAAATCAATGAGAAGTGAGTATTGCTCAGCTCCTTTAAACCACTGAAAGTGATGGGTTTATTTTTTTTTTCCCTCTTTAACAAGACCTAATTGTAGTGAAGAGGCAGGATTATATTGTTCAGGAGAAGGAAAAATGAAGATGAAGTTGCAGCAGCTAACAACTTAAATGTATGAGTGATATTGTAGCTCTTTTTTTCCCATAGGGAAAAAATGTACATTGCAAGCTGTATAATAATCAAGTAAAAGGTCATAAGTCCAAAGATTTCTGAGTAACTTCATGGTCATCAGACACGCACTGTTGCTCAGGTCAAAACTGGCCCACTGAATACTGACTTCAGCCATGTGTCAGAGATGGAGGTAGTTGATGCTCTGAATAGTTTGCGGTTGAAGTAAAAAAAGGCATAAGCATATTAAATAAAATGTGCTTAGTAGTTAGGATAACATCTTTGTAGCAGAACTTCCCTGTTTTTTTGCTGAGCTCTGGGGAAGGTTATTATACTGAACTGTGTTCTCTTTTCCATTTGTTTTAAAGGAATGGGAAAGTACCTGTAAATGATGAAGAACAAACCAATGTGCCTTATGTTTACGCTATCGGAGATATATTGGATGGAAAGCTTGAACTTACTCCAGTTGCCATCCAGGCAGGGAAACTGCTAGCCCGCAGGCTTTATGGGGGTGGTTCCACAAAGGTAAAGCTATCAGAATACGATTTCAACTTACTCCTTTTGCCTCAAAGTTGCAATTACGCAAGTTGATTTGTCTGCTTGACTGTGGGCACTGCCAGTGTTTTGGGGAAACAAAAAGTGCTAATATAACTTTTCCTGTTACGTACTGTATAGAACTTACAGTCTAAATATAAATTTTGTTTTTTATTTTTAGTGTGACTATATCAATGTACCAACGACAGTGTTTACTCCTTTAGAGTATGGCAGCTGTGGGTTAGCTGAAGAAAGAGCCATAGAAGAATATGGCAAGCAAAACTTGGAGGTGAGAGCACTCAACTGTTCTAACTTATAGCTTGACAATGTTTTTCTAGGGCTCTGCTCCTTTACACTCAAGGCATAGTGTTAAAACAAGATTAGAAGGTTAGCTAGATAGCTCTTCGATCGTGGGAGTGTTGTCATCTGGCTAACAAGGTATTGGACTTCCGGAAATCCAGGACTAGACTTCATAATGTTAGAATTGTGAGTAGCTATTGGTATGCTGCTGAGAGGCATTGGACTTCAGGAGGCCACACTTTGATTGCAAAACTGTAGGTGATTTTTTTTTTTTGTTGTTGTGAATTAAATACTTATTGCTGAAGTATACCAGACTCCTAGGATGAACTGTCTATTTTCAGCTTATTCACTGTACTTGAATTGGGAATTAATATCTTCCTGACCTTTCTTAGGGCTATAGGAATATCAGGCATAATGTCCCTGTTTTGTGGTAATTTCTGGCTTCTGCACTGCTCTGAAGAGTTTCATTAAAGCTGTTTGCATGCCTTGTGTTTAACTCCTTACATCTTTCAAATACACTTGGCATTGCTTAGCTTCTGCTAACTGTTTTGCAGAATAGGTTTAAACTTATAGTAAGTAGATATTAATTTCTATTACTAAAACACTTCTCTTTTGAAAGTATAATCTTAAAATGCTGTCTTATAGCTGTTGCTGTTCTAATTGAGTATTTAAATCAAGGGCACATGGTTTGAGTTAAATCTTCCTCTACTGACTTTTGGAGGATGGACTACTTGGGCCAGGGAGAACAAAAATCACTGTCTTGCGTAGTATGTATTATGAAAATCTAGTGGGTTAAATGTCAAACCACCTATTTGTAAAGACGTTAAAAATTTGAATTGTGTCTGACTGAATTAATTAATCAAATTTTAGTGCTCTCTTTTTTGTCATCCTCCCAGGTTTATCACACTTTGTTCTGGCCACTTGAATGGACAGTACCAGGCAGAGATAACAATACTTGTTATGCAAAGATTATCTGCAATAAATACGACAACGTAAGTAACAAGCTGGAATGGATATGCCAAATGCGTTCTTGAAATGTCTTTTTAGACCAGCCAAAAGCCTAGTATCTTTTATTTGGCCTGCCTGAGGCCAGCTCTACCAGTTCTGTTAACCTAAGTATTTCTTTTAAGAGGTCTGATCAATCTGAAGAGACCTGATTGTTTTGTTGTGGGTATTATTTTTTTTTCTGTATAACAGCTGTTTGAGCAAGTGGTAGCTTTATACATTGTGGAACTTCATCCTGAGTTCCTATTTAAGGATAGATTTGTGAAGATACTTGTTTTCTTCCAAGTGGGTGTTGAATAACTGTATTATCTGGTGTCTTGCTCTGGGTTTCTGGACCTTGTGGGTTTTGCCCTTTGCGAAGTGGAGGGTTTTGTGTGTTTAGTAAAAACGTGGAAAACACGTGGTTGGTCCTAGAAAACTCAGTGATGAGAAATGGGAATTTCTAGTGATCGGTAAGTTCTTGTTGCAAAAAAAATAAACGCTGATGCTGTCCATTATTTTTTCCCAAAACCACCTGGGAGAACAGACAACTAAAGGAAGATTTTTTGTTTTTTGTGTGTGTTTAAAATTAGTTTGGAGAGAAGGAAAGATATGGTGAACAGAATGGCTCAAAGTTCTGCTTTTATTGGAGCCTCATTGGAAATAATCCAAATGAAAAGAACACAATGGAAGGGAGGGACTTTAGATTTGTGACAGGTTTTTTTTCTAGGATGCTGGAGGAAGATCTAAAGTAAGTAGTGTATTTGAATTGCTCATATTACGAGGAATTTGTATCCGTATTATGAGGAATTTGTATCCTAGCTTGCAAATTATGGCCAGACTTGTGCTAGTACATATCTGAAGATACAGCAACACTGTGGGGACAACATTTTAAAACATTGTTTGTATCCCTCTTAATAAACCAATTAATGAAACAAATTGAAACAAACTACACCCATGTTCAACTTGCTTTTATGGCCTACTGCTGTCACTCTAGGTCTTGCTACAGAGTCAGCTTGCTAAAAATTCAAGCCTATAAAGTTTTCATTTTCCTTCTTGTTACCTGCTTGGGGAAGAATGGAAGAGCCAGTGAAGCTCTTCAGTATCAGATTTTTGACAAACAGTGTAAATGGGTCCTCTTATCTGAACTAATTTCCACGTAGAAAAATATTTTTAAATCTGAACATACTAAATATACTGTATATCTATGACAACTGACAAAACTAGAATCTGTTTAGTTTTAGGCAGTATCTTTGAGTTAGTGCTGTGCAATGATTTTAAAACTCATTCATTTTATAACTTGTTTCATTCTGCTAGAATGGACTGAAAAGAACTGGAAAACTACTTACTTTGCATTAGTTAGTTTTTTTGTTAAAGACTGCTATTGACCTGCTTGTGTAACGTATAGTTTTTAGTGTAGTGGGAGTTACATACTAGACCTTTTGTTAAACTTTACCTACTACTAACTCCTGTTTTATTCTTACCTGTCTTAAAGAATCGTGTGATAGGATTTCATGTTCTTGGACCTAATGCTGGTGAAATTACCCAAGGTTTTGCTGCTGCAATAAAATGTGGTCTCACCAAAGAATTACTTGATGAAACAATTGGTATCCATCCAACTTGTGGAGAGGTAAGGGAGGAGGAGTTGTGGAGAGGTAAGGGAGGAGGAGGGCACAGCTTGAATGAAAACCTGCATTTGAAGGTGGTTACCTAGATGCAAGGAAAGAATACTATGTTGTTTTTTGAGATTTATGTAGTATTTGCTTAACTTCTGTCAAATATTGACATGTAATAGAAAATGTGTTAATTGTGCACTGCAACTTGTTTTCCATTATAATAGGTCAAAGAATTCTAGTATTGTTACTTTACAAGAGGAGACCAGTAGCCATGTGGATGATGGCAATAGTAAATAAGCTGTTCTTTTTGTTTCTTACAGGTGTTCACTACAATGGATATTACAAAATCTTCAGGACAAGACATCAGTCAAAGGGGTTGCTGAGGTTAAACTTGCTGTTTTACATGTTTTCATGTTGTGCACTCTTAGTTCTGTGGAAGCCCTAATACATCCAGCTGCTTTGCAGCAAAATAAATATTTGCATCAATACCACTGTATTTACTGCAGCTGGGAGTGATGCCTCTGAGGCTTCCTCAGTAAATAGTGTTGCGAATGGAAACAGTAATACAGCAGGGAAGTCCTGAACTGTAAATCCTGACTTTGTGTGGAACCAGCACTACGGTGCTTTTTTGATGTTCCGGCTCGGAACCTTATTGTGAGGTGAGCCATGACTGATGGGTGCCATGCAAGGTTGGGAGATCTCTTCGTCCAGTCAGATGACTGAGCTCCTTCTGAAGGAAATTCTTAAGTTGCACAAATTAAAGCTGATGCTTCTAGGTTCCAGTGTCTTGTACAAATGTCTGAGACAGAGGACAAATACATCATTGAATGATTCTTGCCAACAGTTTACAGTTGACTGATTTATCTTTTTTGATACATTTTGTTCTACTTAATTGTATATTTGAGGCAAGATGGCACAGGTAGGGTGCAATGCTGAGCAGTGCAGTTTGTGCACTAGTCTCCCACCTCCACCAGTCTAAAACTTCACAGTAATCGGGACATCGCTGTTGTTCACATTCATAGTTTTTTGACCTCAGGTGACATCATGTCTTTAAGATAATTTCAGTTGTAGGCATCTTGTGTGTCAGGGTTGAAGAGCATAAGTGCAAGACCTTGTCAATTTGCTCTTGCTGTTTATAACTGTATTTAGTGCAAATAGTCTCAAATCTGGTCTCAGCTCTGTAATGCTCTAACAGAAACCAAAGCTCTAAGTCTGTACTCTTATGTGGAGTATTGAAGTTTTGGAGGAGCAGGGTCTGAGAGTAATCTGTCCCACTAATACAGTAGGTGCCTGTCCATGATGGTAATAACCATTGTATAGAGTTTCTTTGCGTGTGTTGCAGCAGAGAACGATGACTTGCTGTGCTATCATGCTCTGTGTAGTGTTGCGTACAGTCAGTACTCTGAAGCTTTCTTCCACCCCTAGCATTCTCTCTGGGGGAATTGTGCTTGAATTTGGCTCTTAGTTTTGTCCAAAGATGTTTTGAAAGACTATTCTGAACATTGTATGATAGTAAACAGTTTTTAACTATTTAATCTATGATGTACCATGGAATTTGAAGTTCAATAAACTGCATACAACACTTTGTGGTGTCTGACCTCATGGTTTGTTATCACATACTTGAGACTTTATTGTGCTTCAATTATATTGTTTATCACATGCAATACTAAAATCTCTATATAGACTTGTGCATGCTGTAATCTGTCAAATGAAGAAACAAATTGTCTTGCCACATCTGGGGGTTTGCTCAAGAAATCTAATGCACTTCTATTTCAGTATGCAGAATTCTCTCTGTTCAAACAGACAATTTTATACCACTTTGGGATATTCCAGAAGATCCTAAATACGCATGTTGCAGTGCTTAACTGAAATGTAGCTGAAGGATGCTCAGTAGAATCTAGCTAGAGTGTTAGCAGCAAATTTGGCTGGTATTCAAATTTAATAACACTTTGAGACTGAGGTTTTGCTGTGGGTGCCTAGTAGTACTGCAAAATATTTTCACTTCACAATGGGGACAGTTGCAGAGGTTCTGGTGTTGCTTTGCTGCAGACCTCCAGGGAGTTACTTGTTCTGGTCTCTCATAGGCATAGTGGATAGAGCTACCTGCTTGCTATCACCTCTGCAACAGTGACCTGAAGGGTGACACTGCCAAAACCTTGCGTGCCTGAACCTTTCCCTCTTAAGAGGTCAGATGTTATAGCTTGAAGTAAAGTAGGCATAATAGTAGTGTAGAAGTGACCTTAATCTCTAAGTTGAAGTGGATGAATCAGACGCTCATCTGAGCTGTTTTAAAAAGTCAGGGGAGATTAGGGTGGACAGCTTGTAGTGGGTAATGTGTTACAGACTTTGTGCTGTCTAAACAGCTGAAATGAAGCTTAGTAAATATTCAGTAAAGGATCCAGAAGACTTTATAGCATGAGAAACTGAGTGGTAATGGCGAAGTTTATGTGGTGTAGCCATGTTACAGAGGATGTGAAGCAGGAAACAAATCCAAGTGAATGAATGATAACTTCATGAATTTACTACTAGTAAGCACTAATAGAGTTTTAATTCAAATTCAGATTTGATATGCAGGTTCAAGTTAATTGATCTATAATTACCGCTTGCATATCTGTAAGTGTACTAATTGCGGATGTTCCTTATTTCAGACTTGCCCAGGCTGCAAGCTCTAAGTGATACTTCACAAGCATTGAGCACTCTGTACAGTTAGTGTCTTAAGGTTTAAACTCTCAAGTTATATACAATAAATAGCTAATAGCAAGAGCAGTGTTTTAAGTGAATATGTTGCTTATGTTTCGGTAGGCTCACGTGAAGTAAGGTACCATGACAAGATGTAGTTAGAAGCCAAAATTTTAAGCTTGACAGGAGGTGTTAGAGCAAAAGGTAAAATCTGAAACAGCAACTAAATACACTTGAATGTAGAGTCTGACACTGCTTTTTCCGATCTCTTTTGTTTGGTCTGCGATTGAATAGAATAAGTAGAATGGATTCCTCCAGTCTTTTCTAAAGTATCTTTTCTTAAATATTCTATACCTGGAGTCTAGGTGTGACTCTGAAAGCTCAAGTTATTCCTTCTCCCAAGTACTGGGGCCACATTTTCTCTCATTCTCAAAGCCCTCCTTTGACCAGCACCTTTCAGGCTTGTTATATCTTAGTAATGCATTATTTATAAAACTGAAAATAAATTTTAAAAATTGCAGGCCTGCTATAGTGGCCGAGTGTGGGGAGAATTTTTCCTGATGTAGTTCTGAAAAGGCTTTGAGGACAGCTTTTGCCAGTTTCATTAAGCTGCAGTTTCCACAGTTTCTGATGGTCTGCCCTCTGACAAGAAACTTACAGGGAATGATATACATCCCAGTGCAGCGAGGTGTAACAGCTGGGTTGTTAACTTGGTAAAAGAACTGTGAGAAACAGACATCAGTTTACACGAGCTTATTAAATGATTCTCTCTAGGCCAAGTAACTGCAGGTAGTAAGCACTAGCAGTTTCTCTGTATGCGTTTGCTTGAGTGACAAGAGTAGACACTTGTAGACTGGTAGACACAACTACAGGGAGAGTCTTTAAGCTATATCAGTAGCATTTAAATTAGTACCTGCTTACTTTTGTCTTCAGTTTTCAAATGTGCTTTGATGGAAACTCAGTTAGTACAGGTCTAACTGGGTTTAGAATGCTCTAAAGCAATCTTCCCTCTAGCTCACAAGGAACAGATGCCTTGTCCTGAAACTCGTTTGCTCCAGATCATGAGTGAGCTTGGGTAGTACAGACACTGAAGCAGTGGCATTTGAGGCAAAATGGCATGTTTACATTTCTGTTGTCATAAATGTTGTTTGCCAGATTCTGAAGATATGTTCTGTGTCCTTAAAATAATGATATTTTCATACTGATATTTTTTATATATTCATACTCTTAACACCAATGAGTTTTTATAGGTTGCAGTTGATAATACTCAGTTGCTTACTGAATCTGCTCTTAGCTGAAGCAATGTTTTCTCTAGATCACTGATAACTATAGCACTCTATCTGGACTGTAGCTCCTGAAATTAGTGCATAAACAGCAAAGCTGTGTAGTTTTTTAACTTATTGGTGAAATTTATCATTTCCTGGTCTGTGAGTGATTATGATTATAGTTATTGTACACATAGAAAACACTTAATCATCAAATTAGTAGATGGCTTTCCACATAGCATGAATTTTAGTTATATTTTGAGCACTGTAATTTACCTTGAATAACACAAGCAGCTAGTTGGCCCGTGCGAGAACTGTGGGGGCAAGTCAGAGACAAACGGGGGAGCTGAATATTCTCTGATAAGCCTTGAAATGCCAGAATAAGACATGAAAGAGTTTTCCTGTATAACTGTACTATTAAAGTTTCGAATTCGCATGATTCTCCTTGGAGTGGCTTTTGACGAGACTTGAAGTGTTTGCCTTTCATCAGTGCATCTCAAATACTGGAAGAAAACTGCAAAATAATATTTTTTTCTTTTAGCTCTCAGCTGGAGTTCCTGTATGTTTAAATCTTGCACCATGTCTCCCCCGAATATTGGCAAGGGAAAAATCCCTGGATGTGCCTTAGAAGAGGTGGGAACAGCAGAGGAAGGAAAGGTCAAGTGTTTTAATTAAAATAAACAAACAGTGGATTTAATGAAGCAAACCACTTTTTTTGTGGGTTTGCAGCACTATATAATCTGTCCTCGTGCTTGTAATTTAAGTAAATGAAGAGACAGGTTAAGAACTCCTTAAATGATCTTTTTTAATTGACAGTACACAGTGAGTTTTGTGTTATGTGAATGTGATTGAACATCTTCACCTCCATTAAGGTAAATGAGTTTACAGTTTGGAGCCGAGTTGCATAGTTTCCAGTGCTGCCTCTATATATAGCAATGATCCTTTAAGATAATTTCTTTACTTGGCAAAAACAGGAGCAGTCCTGTGCTCAGAAGTGTTATGATGACAAGGCGTTTGGAGGCAGCACTGTTAACTGCTTGTTAACTAGTAGGCATAGCAAATACCAATTGTTTAGTTTGCAGAGCTAATGTCACTGGTTTCCTGGTTACTTGTACTTCCTTTTGGACCAGCAAATATGACTAAGTCATGTTTGTTTGTGTTTTATGATGCTTGCTCTGCAAGGGGAAAAATTATCAAATTAGTAAAATTGGCTGCATATGTGTCTGCAGCAGACATATCTGGGGAGGGAAGAAAAGCATGACTGTCTTATTCAATATTCAAGTAGAGACGGCAGAGTTTGGAGGTTTTTTGAGCTATAGTATTTTCTACTAGCTTTTCTTCAAATAACTTGCCACTCTTACGATGCTTATAGTCCGAACACTGGTGGTGAAAATCTAAAAAGTTTACCTTTTGATTTCTAAACAGAAAAGGTTGTGTTTTTTGGTTTTTTTTTTTTAATTTTTGGAAGATTTTGTTTGTACTAAACAAGGCTTGTGATCAGTTTAGCATCTTTGTTATTTTGTCCACTGAAAAGACAAAAGTGCGATTGCTATACTTGGTTCAAAATTACTTATTGCAGTCTCCTAGTTTTTTTTTCCTGAAATGCAAGAGTAGGGGGGGATTCTGTAAGTACGATGTCCTACAAGGAATTCTGTCTTCAAAAAACCCCGCTTTGTTTCCCTTTCCCACTACACCCTGCTGACAGAGTCTGCAGCTGTGATTGGTTTGACTGGTCTGTTTCTCGTGCTCCCAGACATGTGCTAGAGTTAGCAGGCA